TGGGTCTCACAACCTCCATTTCATGTTTCTACTTTTTGAAGAGGTAGGAAAACTAAAAAGACTCCCCTGAAGGCCAGGTGTTGGACACAGGTCTGCCAATTATTTACACATGGAAGGCACAAGAGCAGCCAACGCTACCTTCCTACAGTAAGGGCAAATGACAAAAATGTCTAATAGACACTGAATGGTTGCAGTAACCCTGGTTCCCCATCAGCTCACCAGCCTCATGGGTAAGAAGCAGCCATCACAGTGGCGGTAGTGGCAGCAGTGGCCACAGTGCACAGCCTTGAAACCAGAAGTCCAGTAGTGGCTCCCTATCTTTGCTCCTCTAGACCTTCCAACCATGTGGTAAGCACCTTATTCCTTAAAATAGCTACCGTGTTCTGATTCCTGCCCTGCACCCTGACTTCCGACACACTGACATTAGGTGAGGTCAGGTCCTCTTACACTCACTTGGACTACTGTTATAACTAGGTGACTTCCCTGCAATCTCTCACCATTCCAGGTCTTCCTCCAACTTGCCACCACCAAATCTGACTGTGCTTAAAGAAAGCTTATCAAAAAGAGGCCATCTAGAAACCTCTTACGTTCTCTCATACATCTGTACCTCGTGTGTGCAGCTGACTGTGTCCTTTAATTCCTTCTCCATCTGGTGGAATCCCACTCCACCTCCAGAACCTAGCTCACACAAGACTCCTGTGAATCTTTCCCAACAGGGTCACTCCACAGGCCCATATGTGCACTCACTTCCACAAAACCTGCTGCCTGCCCTTGGCTCTGTGCTCACTCACATTCATTCATTCAAAAGATATTTGCTGAGTTACATTTACCTACCACATGTCACACATTGTGCAGAGAGCTTGGGGTACAAGCCAAAATGAGACAGACAAGGTCTCTTCTCTCTTACAGCTATAATCCAACAGGGATATAGATTACCCAGTAAACACCCAAATAACTTTTAATTGCAATTGTGGTAAGTGTACTAAAAGATTCAGGGTGCATCTTACATGTATAAATGGAAGTCTAACTTAATCTGGAAGGATCAGGGAGAACCATTTCCCCCAAAAAGACATTTAAGCAGAAACTGGAAGACAGATAAAAATGATCAGGCAAAAAATTGTTAAAGAACTTCCTAGGCAGAAGGAACAGCGTGTGCAAAGGCCTTGAGGCAGCAGTCTAGGAACTGTGAAGACCATCAACGGACAGAAGTCAGGATGCAAGGGAGACAGCTGCCCAAAATAAGTGGGGAGGCAGTGACTTCTTATAACCACTGTTACAATACTTAGTACGTTGTTTTGGAATTATTCATTTGCAAAAATGCAGCCCCCCACTAAAAAAACTCCTTTAGGTCTTACAAATTGTTTTGGCCCCATAGTCCAACACAGTGCTTAACATGTCCCCTCAGGTCAAGATCTGCCAATGAAGAAACGAGTGTGTGATCTGCACAAGGAGCTTAACCTCTCAGTTCCAGACAGGCGGAACAAAACTCTCTCTAGGCTTCAAAAACCTCACGTTTCTGACTACCCCCAAACTCACTGGGCAGGAGACACATTTTCATGCCAACTTACAGGTGTTCAGAATCAAAGCTAGTATTTACTGTGGACGAAATTTTAAATAGTAAAAACTATCTTTAAGTTGGCAAAGGGCTCTCAATCCTCACTGCTCCATGAAGTGCCACCAACTAACAACCAACAGGACTGCTTTACAGCTCCCCAGAGTCACCACCAAGGCCAGGGGGAGTGAGCACAGCTCTATCTGCCTGTTCTTACTCTCCCACTGCTCAACAAATTTGGTAGGAGTAGGCTCAAGAGCAGAAAACTGGCACCTATGCCATTCTTTTCTCCTTCCTCACTTCCTAAATACTGATGACTCAGGAAACATACCGGGGACTCAGTAAGAAAATGTCAAAATCCAGTTGACACACCTCTGCCAGCTATTATAAGTCTACAGAATAGGGCAATCTCTAGCCCTAGACTTCAGTTTTTGGTACATGTTCTCAAAGAGCAGTGGAGGAAGCATTCTTGGAAAGAAAGAAAATTGAGTTAGCTAGGAAATAGTTTCAAAATACATGTAAAGCTTGACGTAGTTTGTTAGACAGTGAAGAAAACATCAATACATATATACAGTAAGGAACTTGTAACTGAGCTGTAGAATGAGACCCTTAGCATGTCTTTTAAAAGTAAATTTAATCAGAATTTCACTACCTACATTTATTATGTCATCTGGCATATATAATAATAGATCCAAAATCATGTAACAAGTCAAGAATTCTACTAAGAGCTCCATAATGGGGTTCAACCATACCAAAGACTCAAAAACTTTACAAAATATATTTAATTCTATTAATTGCCCAATCATGTCAAATTTTTCAATTATTACAACTATGAAATCAAGTCTAATTAAACCAGTAAGTGGCCTTAACCATGATATTTTTTCTTGCAAGTTCAAGATAAAACAGTAAAATAATTTAGAAGATCATTTCAACATTCCAGATTTAGCAGAACAAGGAAAAAAATAACAATCCTCCTAAATCCTGACTGTGGAGTTCATACGCCTCACCTTGCACCTTTGAACTCTGGATACTATTCTCTTCTCTCCCACTTCCTCCACTTCTCAAAAGCAAACAAACGCACAAACAAAAGACCAAACAAAACCAAAATAAAACAGACCTTCATTCAATATACATCTATTGACCTCAGTGGCAGTACAAATAGCAAAACTAATGCTCCCTATTCCTCAGGGCAGAAGAAATAAAATTTTTTGTCCTAATTTGAGAAATACATGATTCTCCTCCCCCCACCTCAAAAAAAGACAATAAAAATGTTAACAAGTGGTAAGTAGCAGCTTTTTAAAAACTTATAAATTATTTTAGGAAGCATTATTGAAAAGTTTGATTTATAAAGTACTTTTTTGGGGGAAAAAATTTGAACAAAAATTATTTTCAATGATTTCTATACCTAAAGGGAGATAATAACTAAAACTGTTATAATTCCGTTTTTAATGAATAGATTTACTATTTACTAGCATCTCTATTTAACCATGTTACTTATTACTCAAAATGCCTACTCTGTAACCTCTGCTCCTGCCTCTTTCTCGCCTTTCAAAGGGCCGCTGTTCAGTGTTCAGTGCAGTGATGAGTGAGCACCTGAGCCTCAAAACAGAACAGTATCCCCCCAAAAACCCACACACATAATCAATACCAGGTAAACAAATACTACCACAATAACCAGGCATTTTTAACTCATCACCTGAAAGGTCTCATAGAATAAACATAAGATTGGCTCAATAAAGTTACCACCTTACTGAAAGTGCTTCATAAATGGTCTGGTTACAGCATTCCCATCTGATCTTCTTGGAGTCCAGTACCTGCTCTGGCAGTGAAGTAATTCCTGATGCCGTGCGGCTCAGGCTAATCCAACAGCACCAGCCTACTGAAACGTGACTCACTGATGTAGTATTGAGGAAGAACAGTAAAGCTTCAGGACAACTCCAGGTAGAATGAGGCAGAAACCTCAAATGACATTCCCAAAGACTGACTGAGTCCTACTGTGGAGACCTACCTATTTCTCATCAAATAAGCCAATCTATAAATAAGCAAGATTTTTTCCTAACCACACGAGAGATCTGTTTTTAAAAACTTGAAACATTTGTCCCATGAGATTACTTATAAGACATTAAATATAAATCAGATCTCCAATCCCAAAACATATAGGCTAAAAATAGAGTTTCTATTTCAGAGGCTGAGGCAGAAGCCCTCCAACTGAACAAACTAAAATTAGGTTCTTTTTCGTCTCTGAATCCTTAAAACGCCCCCTCAACGTGGATGGGACCCACAAACCACTGTCCACATATCCTGCTCAACCGGGTGGTCAGAGAGAATCTGATTCCTGTTGACCCCCCGTCCGAGACTCGGGGGGTGAAATTCCCGTCCGTTCTGGCTCACACCCAGACTAAAAAGCCCCCCACTGCCACCGCTACCGAAGCCCCCTCCCCAAGTGCCTTATTCGGCGAAACTCCAACCCACCCCGAGCACGCGTGTCTCCCGGGAAGCACAGGCCGAGGCGGGCGGCTGGCCGGGCCCGGAGCCCCGAGGGGAGGTCGCGGTCCGGGGGGCCGAGGCGGCCGAGACCCCAGGGCGGCCACGGAGGCAGCGGGGCGGAGGCGGGAGGAGAGCAGCCCTGACCCCGGAGCCCCGCTCCCTGCTCCCCGCTCCTCGGCTCTTGCTGCCCACTCCCCGGCTCCCACTCCGGGACCCCGGCTCCCCGTCCCCCACTCCCGGACCCGGCCCCCCACTCCTGGACCCCGCTCCCCGGACCCCGGACCCC